ATATGTACAATTTTTTGTTATCAAAATATATATATATATTTTTTTTTTTGAGACAGAGCCTCAAGCTGTCCCCCTGGGTAGAGTGCTGTGGCACCACAGCTCACAGCAACCTCCAACTCCTGGGCTCAAGCAAGTCTTCTACCTCTGCCTCCCAAGTAGCTGGGACCACAGGTGCCTGCCACAATGCCCGGCTATTTTTTTTGGTTGCAGCCATCATTGTTTGGTGGGCCCAGGCTGGATTCGAACCTGCCACCTTATGTGTATGTGGCTGGTGCCTTAGCCACTTGAGCCACAGGCGCCAAGCCATATAGAGTAGTAGATCTTATACTAGGTATTATCAAAGTGGGAAATAAATTGACACTCCCAAAAGAGACTTACAGTATGATTGATTAGGGGCAGATAAGACAAATATTAATTTGATCCTCTTCAGTGATAACGAATACTTTTCAAGGATTAAAAGAAATCAGTGTTTTTCTGGGGTTTTTTGTTTTGTTTTGAGACAGTCCTACTGCGTTGCCCTCGGTAGAGTTTCATGGCGTCACAGCTCATAGCAACCTCCAACTCTTGGGCTTAAGCAATTCTCTTGCCTCAGTCTCCTGAGTAGCTGGGACTACAGGCTCCCGCCACATGTCCAGCTATTTTTTTGTTGTTCTTATTGCAGTTTCATTGTTGTTTAGCTGACCCACCATCCTACCCTCATTGCATGTGGCTGGTGCTGTAACCACTGTGCTACAGTCACCAAGCCTGTTTTTATTTTTTTAAAAAACAGGGTCTTGCTTTGTCGCCTGGTCTACAGTGCAGTGGCATGATCATAGCCCAGTGCAACCTCAAACTCCCAGGCTCAAGTGATCCTCCTAACTCAGCCTCCCAAGTAGTCATGTGCCACTATGCTTGGCTAGTGTTCTTTATTTTTTATAGAGATGAGGTCTTGGTATGTTGCCCAGGCTGGTCTCAAACTCCTGACCTATAGCATTCCTCCCATCTTGGCTTTCCAAAGTGCTGGGATTACAGGTGGTGAGCCTGCCGTGCCCAACTAAATGGGGTTTCTTTTGTTTGTTTGTTTGTTTGTTTTTTGAGACAGAGTCTTACTTTGTCACTCTTAGTAGAGTGTCTTGGCATCATAGCTCACAGCAACCTCAGACTCCTGGGCTTAATTAAGTGATTCTCTTGCCTCCACTTCCCAAGTAGCTGGGACTACAGGAGCCCACCATAGCACTCAGCTATTTTTGGAGATGAGGTCTCACTCTGGCTCAGGCTGATCTCAAACCTGTGAGTTCAGGCAATCCACCTGCCTCAGCCTCTCAAGTGCTGGGATTATAGGAATGAGCCAATGCGCCCAGCCAGCCCAACTAGATGTTTTTTTTGTTTGTTTGCTCTTTTTTGAGACAGAGTCTCACCATGTCACCCTCAGTAGAGTGCTGTGGCATCACAGCTCAAAGCAACCTGAAACTCTTGGGCTCAAGCAATTCTCTTGCCTCAGCCTCCCAAGTAGCTGGGACGACAGGCGCCCACCATAACACCCAGCTATTTTTTGTTGTTGTTGTTACTGCAGTTGTCATTGTTGTTTAGCTGGTCTGGGACAGGTTCGAACCCACCAGCCTTGGTGCATGTGGCCAGAGCTGTAACCACTGAACAACGGGTGCCAAGCCACCAACTAGATGTTTTTAATGCTTCATAATGGACATTTTCTATTTCTAACAGTTCTAAAGGTAACTTTTAATCCTTTAATGGCACTGAGTACAAAACTTGAGATTGAAAAAATGGTGTTAAATATTTTAAGTATTTGGATTTCATTCTTTCATAATTTGATAGCACTTTTCCCTGGTGCATATACTGATCAAAAGAATTATTTTCTGGGCTTGGTGCCTGTGGCTCAAGTGGCTAAAGCGCCAGCCACATACACCTGAACTAGCAGGTTCAAATCTAGCCCAGGCCCACCAAACAATAATGACAGCTACAACCAAAAAATGGCTGGGTGCTGTGGCAGGAGTCTCTAGTCCCAGCTACTTGGGAGGCAGAGGCAGAAGAATTGCTTGAGCCCAGGAGTTTGGAGGTTGCTTGTGAGCTGTGATGGCACGGCACTCTACCCAGGGTGAAAGCTTAAAGCTCTATCTCAAAAAAAAAAAAAAAAATTATTTTCTGTATTGCCACAGTGACCTCTTGTGGGGGGAACATTTATCTTACATGTTTTATTAACCTTAAATCATTATATAGGTTTCAGACTGAAATTCAAATGGTGAATAAACAGTTTCCATGTGAGCCATTCAAATTTTTGGAGCCAACTTTAAGACTAGAGTATTGTGAAGCATTGGCTATGCTTAGAGAAGCCGGAGTTGAAATGGGAGATGAAGAAGACCTGAGGTTTGTCTTTTGTGATTTCTCAAAATTCTTACATTTAAGGTATATAAGAATTAAAATATTAATAAATTATGATTTTCTTTGCCAAGCTTATAAATTTTAACTTTAGTGTATAAATGATGCTGTTGTATATGCATCATCTGAAATACAAATACATTTAATATAGTTTCCTAAGGCTTAGTAATTTTAAATAAATCATTTTTTACTTTTTCTCAGATTGGAACCCTTTAAAAGAGTATTAGGGAATTTTGCCTATGATTTTTTTTCATCCAATATGTTACAACTCGTTTCATATCACTGGTGTCAGAGAGGGTATATAGCAGTCTAAAGCAATCCCCATGCAGAATTTGGGCATAAAACTGTTAACATCTCCAAAAGTTGGGTGGCACCTGTGGCTCAGTGGGTAGGGTACCAGCCCCATTTACCCAGGGTGGTGAATTCAAACCCAGCCCCCACCAAACTGCAACAAAAAATAGCCAGACGTTGTGGTGGGTGCCTGTACTCCCAGCTACTCAGGAGGCTGAGGCAAGAGAATCGCCTAAGCCCAGGAATTGGAGGTTGCCATGACACCATGGCATTCTACCAAGGGTGATAAAGTGAGACTGTGTCTCAAAAAAAAAAAAAAAATCTCCAAAAGTTATAAAAATCACTGTTGTGTATTTGATATGTAGTATTATATTATCTAAATTCAGATTATACAATTTACAATTTTGAAACAAATTATGTAGCTTAAAATTACTATCTGCTTATATTTTATTTAAGGTTTCCCAGTTAAAATATTTAAACTATCACAATAATCCATATGTATATAGGAGGGAATAGGTGTAGGTATTTCTAGCTTTTTTAAAAATTTTCATTCAAACCCTTTATTTTTGTTTGTTTAACCAAAAAAATAGAGTTTTAAAAAGCTTCTCTCTGTTAGATGACATATTAAGGCAGACCATAAATTCTATAAAGTTGAGCAATATTTTTATATTTTAGAAATTATCCTTAAATAAGATAGAAGCTAAAGTTGCTATCTCTTGGTTATAGAAATTTAATATGCTTATTATAAACATTTACATTTTAGAAACTTGGAAATAGTGATTTTTATCTTATAAATCTTTGATAAGGGATAGCAAAAAAGAGAAACAATTTAGTGGCAAGACTAGCCCACATTGGTATAATGAGCCTTTATTATGTGTAATTGTAGGAAATAATTTTATCCATAAAATTTCTGAATCAATAAATTGCTAAATTCTGTTCATGGCTTTAATTAAATATATGAGCAGCACTTACTAAGCAAAGCGCATACAATACTAGTACAGAAGTCACTGTACTAGTAGGTACATTCATCAGTGATTTTCTTTTTTTTGAGACAGAGCCTCAAGCTGTCCCCCTGGGTAGAGTGCCGTGGCATTACAGCTCACAGCAACCTCCAACTCCTGGGCTCAAGCGAGTCTCTTGCCTCTGCCTCCCAAGTAGCTGGGACTACAGGCACCCACCACAACGCCCGGCTATTTTTTGGTTGCAGCCGTCATTGTTGTTTGGCGGGTCCGGGCTGGGGATGCGAACCCGCCACCTTAGGTGTACATGGCTGGCGCCTTAGCTGGTTGAGCTATAGGCGCCGAGCCTCATCAGTGGTTTTCAATGGTAATTGCCTTTTTTAAAAGGAGTGGAATAGACAACTATGTGCTTTGGCCAATTTTTTTAATCCTTTAAGAACTTTGATTAGAAGTGGTGCCTTACTAACTTGACCTTTTTAAAGTTGCTGTTTGATCATCAAACATGTAGTTTCATGTTTCTTTTTCAGTACACCAAATGAAAAGCTGTTGGGTCGTTTGGTAAAGGAAAAGGTAGGACTTCTTTACACAGCTTCTGAATCTGAAATGTGGCCTGATACCAAAGAACATTTGCAGAGGAAACTAATCTTCCTAGAATGATTCTAGAATAAATAAAAACCAAAGGAGACAATGTTAAAAAAAAAAAAAAATTCTTAGAAAATGAAAAATATTGACTCTGCACCTGTTGCATGGTGGTTACAGCGCCAGCCACATGCACCGAGGGTGGTGGGTTCAAACCCCACCCAGGCCAGCTAAACAACAATGACTGTAGTCCCAGCTACTTGAGAGGCTGAGGCAAGAGAATCACTTAAGCCCAAGAGTTTGAGGTTGCTGTGAGCTGCGATGCCATGGCTCTCTACCCTCTACCAAGCACCCATAGTAAGACTCTGTCTTAAAAAAAAGAAAAAGAAAATGAAAAATAATATTCAGACAGGCTCTGCCCAAAGGATTGTTCTCTTTTCTGGGCACCTTTGGATTCCACCACCCAAATAATTTGATTAACTGACTGTTTGATATTTGTACTAATTTGTATTAAAGTATCTCTGAAAGTGATATGTATGTGAGATTATCAAATTAGTTAGAAATGACCTTGAAATTAATAAGAAATGGTCTTCTCTGGGTGCCTCTACTATCTCATGGGACTTGAATGAGCTTCATTGCTGCCTCTTATGTAAAAGCTGCTTTCAAATCTCGTTTTCTAAAACAAAAATTAAAAAAAAGATAAAAACTAAACTGTGGTTTGTCCTTTTTAAAAATGTAAGAGAATGGTGTGATAAAATGGAAGAAGTCCTTGAGCTCCCCCTGCTGGTTGCGCTTAAAACTGTTAAGCTAACTGTGAAACTCAATTATTTTAATATTTTTGCATATGTAGTACTGAATTTATACCTTTAAAATGCTTTGTCAACAGAGCTAATTCCGGTTTTTCAGCTTTTGACATTCTCTCTTCTACAGTTTTAGCAAAAATGTTTAAAATGAAAAACTATTGAAATGTAATTAATTGCTTTTTAATGAAATCTAAGTCACATAGTAAGTATTGCTTCTACAATAATGTCATAATTTCAAGTTAACGTTATTTCCTTCGGCTGTGGTTTTCATTTGAAGAAAACTATCAATTTTATATATAAACATAAATTGAAATTATTGAGAAAATAATCCAAAGTTTTTGAAGATGAATATTGTACAAGTTGTCAGTTTTTCCCAAATTGTAATCCTAGCGTTCTGGGAGGCTGAGGCAGGTGGATTGCCTGAGCTCACAGATGTGAGACCAGCCTGAGCCAGAGCAAGATCCTATTTCACAATAAAAACAAAAAAAAAAAAAAAAAAATAGTTTCTGCAAAACCCAAAGATATTTGGTAATTTAACAAAACAGTTACAAATGCAGATGAACTAGAATAACAAAGAAAAAAGGTGAAAATCAAAGATGTGTATTGTAGCATAATTTACACTGAGGGAAAAATTAGAAAGAGATTACATGTCCAAAAAGAATATTTAAACCATGATTAAATAGTGAGCAGTTGAATTATAGCTTAAATAAAAATTTAAGTATTGGAAGAATTTATGACACCATGGCAAAATGCTATAAGTTACAAATGTTACTTGAAAAAGCAATTCCCAGTGTAACTGGAACAATTTTAAGAGCAAAAATTTATAAAGAAGTTAATTACCAAAATATTAGTCTTTTACTTTTAAAAAATATTTTTAATTTCATTTTTTCTTTTTATAGTATGATACAGATTTTTATATTCTTGATAAATATCCATTGGCTGTAAGACCTTTCTATACCATGCCTGACCCAAGAAATCCTGTAAGTAGTTTGGTTTTAAATAACTCCTTTGGGGGGAAAAAGACTATGGTTACTGTGGCAAATTATATAATGGAAATAATGGTTTTCATCAATAAACCTTGGAATTTGGGTAGACATAATTGATATATGTATTGCCCCTGGTGTTTGTTACTAGAGGTCAAAATGATATTGTAAAATTTAAATATTTTAGCAAATTAATCCCAAAAAATCTATTAAAAATCATTTTCTTTGATTATTTTTAGAGGATTTATGAGGAAAAAAGACTGTATAAATGATACTAGATTTGCATATTTTAGCAAATAATCTTATTGTCCTTGAACTAGGAGTTCTCATTGTGTCTTGGGAGTTAATAATCTAAATATCTTTTGGCCATTTATTTTTTTTATTGCAGTGGTTTCTAAACTTCAGTGTGCATCAGAATCACCTGGGCTTTTTTTTGAGACAAAGCCTTAAGCCGTCATCCTGGGTAGAGTGCTGTGGCATCACAACTCACAGCAACCTCCAACTCCTGGGCTCAAGCAAGTCTCCTACCTCAGTCTCCCAAGTAGCTAGGACCACAGTCACCCACCACAATGCCCTGCTGTTTTTTGGTTGCAGCCATCATTGTTTGGTGGGCCTAGGCTGGATTTGAACCCGCCACCTTAGGTGTATGTGGCTGACGCCTTAGCCACTTGAGCCACAGGTGCCGAGTCATCACCTGGGCTTTTTTAAAACACAGATTGCTGGGCCCCAATCCCAGAATTTCTGATGAGTTGGTCTGGAGTGGGACCTGATAATTTACATTTCTAACAAGTTTCAGGTGATACTTAAGCTACTGGTGCAGGAATCATGCTTTGGATACCATTGGTTTATTGAAAGATAGGAGAAATATCTGCCACACTTGGTGGCTTACACCTATAATCCTAGCACTTTGGAAGGCTGAGGCAGGTGGATTGATTGAGCTCCGGAGTTTGAGACCAGCCTGAACAAGAGCAAAACTCCCATCTCTGCTATAAATTGGGTGTTGTGGCAGGTGCCTGTAGTTTAGCAACTTGGGAGACTGAGGCAAGTGGATTTCTTGAGTGCAGGAATTTGAGGTTGCTGTGAGCTAGCACTCTACCCAGGGTGACAAAGTGAGACTCAGTCTCAAAAAAAAAAAAAAAGAAAGAAGCCTTAATATAGGTTAAGAACAAGTTAAGCGTTGGTAAGTTGATTTTCAATTTACTTTTCTTAAAATAAAATAAAAATAAAAATGACTAACACCCATTGGTTAACTTAAAGTTCCAAAAGACCCCAAAAATCTGTCCAGGTTCAGTTGCTCATTCCTATAATCCTAGCACTATGAGAGGCCAAGGCAGCAGGTAGATTGCTTAAGCTCAGGAGTTCCAGACCAGCCTGAGCAAGTGAGACCCTATCTCTACTAAAAATAGAGAATACTAGTCAGGTGTTGTGGCAGGCGCCTATATTCCCAGCTACTTGAGAGGCTGAGGCAAGAGGACTTCTTGAACCCCAGAGTTTGAGGTTGCTGTGAGCCATGCCACCAGGGCATGCTACCCAGGGTGACAGAGTGAGACTCCATTATGGGTATATGAACACCCACCTGTATTTTCTTTTTCTTTTTCTTTTTCTTTTTTTGAGACAGAGGTCTCACTCTGTTGCCCTCGGTAGAGCGTAGTATGTCATAGCTCACAGCAACCTCAAACTCTTGGGCTCAAGAGGTCCTCTTGCCTCAGCCTCCCAAGTAGCTGGGACTATAGGTGCCTACCACAACCCCCAGCTATTTTTAGAGACAGAAGGTCTCAATCTTACTCAGGCTAGTCTTGAACTTATGAGCTCAAGTGATCTACCCTCCTTGGCCTCTCAGAATACTAGGATTACAAGCGTGAGCCACTGCACCCATCCTTGAACTACTTCCTAAAAGTGATGTGGTACTCTGATTTGTTATTGGATTATATGTGAAAAGGAAGCACAAAATCTGATACAGGTAATCCCTGGGTTACAAAGAACATAGGTTCTATAGGTTTTTAAAAGTTGGCTCGGCGCCTGTGGCTCAAGCGGCTAAGGCGCCAGCCACATACACCTAAGGTGGCGGGTTCGAATCCCCAGTCCGGGCCCGCCAAACAACAATGATGGCTGCAACCAAAAAATGGCCAGGCGTTGTGGCGGGTGCCTGTGGTCCCAGCTACTTGGGAG